TTTTTTTTTTTTTTTTTTTTTGGTATGTTGCTTTGTTTCTTAAATAATAATAAAATTAAATTAAGAACCCTGTAATAATTCATGCTGAAAAATCCGGATTGTTAACATTAAGCAAGGACTTCAAAAGGAAAAATTGTGATGTTCAGGCTGATTCTATCTACTAGAAGTGAGGATCTGGTGGTCATCTTTGAATGCAAAAACAATCTCAATTCCATCAATGTGAAACTGATAACACAGTTCTAAATTATAAAAGGGAAAAGAAGAAAATAATATGAAAACCATAAGTAGTGATATGAGAGAAAATATTCCTAATTTTAGCAATGTCTTCTACAAATATTGGTTGGAAAACTCCCAGGAAGCAGGAAAAGAAACAGTCATGTCTGATCAGATGAACATCAACCTTCCTATTTTTAAACAAAATTTACCGAACATGTTCTCATCGACAATATGATATACTGTAACCACCATTTTCCACACTAAATTCAATATCAAGGTGAAAATACCGTATGCTTTTAAGAGGAAAAATGATAGTAATACCTGCTTATGCAGTCCTGAAGTTGACGCACCATCCTTTCGTTTTCTTTCAGTCTTCTACATCCTTCTGCATTTATTTTCAGCGTTGCAATATACTTCCTTTCAAACTCATTAGCTCTGTGTCTTTCAGCCTGCAACATGGCCTGTTTGCGTAAATATGTTCTGCCACCTTTAGTCATTTTCGAATTCGAGGAGCAAGAAAACTAAAACTTGTAATAAAACAAAAGATATTCTTCATAAAAACACTAATTGTTAGCAATAAGCATTAATTTCTTTCAGCTTCCAAAATAAATTATAACTCCACTGCATATCTAGATGCAGTCACATTAGACATCTCTATTGCAGTGATCTAACAAAAATCTGGCACTCACGTTCTTTCACAACTTATACTTGATCCTCTAACCTCGAATTTCTGTTGAACTATTTTCATGTTAGCAGTCTTTCACAATCTACGTGACATTTCACACATCTCACATATATAAAGTTCCATGACAGCACTTGTATACTTGAATCCATCTTTCTCGAGATAAATCCTTCATCTACTACCATTTCGTTCTCTTCCATCTCAGGAGTCAACGAATTCTCTGCCTACATTGCTTCTGAGTTCTAACATAATGAAAGACGTGGACAGCACCAGATGACTTAAAACTTGAATCAAGCCAGTTAGAAAATTTTGTTGTTCTTTCTCTATTGACAACCGTTGGTCTCTCTCTAGCTAGCAAATTTAATTTTCCAAAGTTCAAAACTAACCAACCAACCTAATTCGCTAATTTACATGCTAACGTGATATTTAATCTTTTTTATCTCTCTAGCATTACTAGCCCGAGATGTCGCATAAAGAAAAAACTAAAGCTCCTAGAAACACAGACAGGAGGAATGAAAGAAATATAATACCAATCAATGTTGGATGAATTAGAGTTACCTTTAGATTAGCCACTTCTGCTCTGAGAGTGCCCATAGATTCTGCTTCTTCAACTCGACTACCGGGCTCTTTAATAATAAAGTATGCTTCTTCTATTTCTTTTGGAGAAACACGGTTTTCCTTGGCAATCATTTCAATTGTTTCATCAATGGCATCTGTCCTGCTGTTGAGCAACGCAGGCAAGGTAAGACCCTCCTCTGTTTCTTCCGAGTCAGCCTGTAATCATCGTTTTTGAATTATTGTGTAAGAAAAAAGGTATTTCTAGATTAGATTCACTTGTTTGTCTGTTTATTACCACAAAAACACAATATGCTCCATCAAGTTAAAAACTACAACATGAAAGCCAATGTTGTTCTGTGCCTTTTCAGTTCAAAAAATTTGTTTGACACTCCAAGGTGGAACGATTACAGTGTTCCCCTGC